TTTTTTTTTCTATTATTTGTGATTCCATTAATTTCTTTAAGTACTTGTTCGCAAAGCTATTTTTGAGTGTAGATGTGTATATTATACCACAATACGAATATGATATTTTAAAAAGTGAGTGTGCCTTGGGTGATTTGATAAAAAGTTATTTTTCAAGTTCTCTGTATTGGACTGAATGAACCTTTACCCTTTGCCAAACAATTGTTTGCCATAAAAAGAGCTACATGGAAGAAAAATGACACAGTCTCTTATCGATTGTCTCAACAGATATTTTTATCTTTATGGGTGTCCTATTAGACCCAGTCACATATCAGGTGCCGCTTGACACCGCAACATTCAGGGAAGTCATTCAGTACCTTCCTCGAACAGGAAGCCCTGCTATTTTTCATTTGTAAGTGACTAATAGTTTTATTGGCACGTTTGTGGTTCACATCATTGCACCATCCAGCAAATTTGTATCGTCTTGAGGAAGCGCCTCCTCTCTGATATTGACATTTTGCCAAATTTGGAGGTTGGGGGGGGGGGGTTCTCACTTTCTAACATACTTGCCATATCATATGCTATTAGGCAGTTTGGCTTAAATCCAAACTCCAAATGGTGTCAAATCTGAAGGACCGTTATTGGCCTGTGGCCTTGTGATGGAGATTAGAGCAGATTTAGGCCCCGGTCGCAGTGAAAAACGGCCCCATGAGAGCGGTCAGCTGACTCCCTTGTCATTTCAGACAAGGATCACATTTTTTTCCGTAGCGTTGTCACGATCGGGAATGTTTTGGTGCCAAACCTCTCTTCTAGAACTCCAAAGGCCATCGATGAATTGAATATTCTTCTTGAACCGTGTCCCCTCCAGCTCAAGATCTCCTTCAATGAGACAAGTCTTCACAGCACGTACGAGTATCCGTCCGAAAGCAGCGCGTGGGACAGCGGCGAGGAGGCGGAGCAGGACAAACAGGAGGGGAAGCTCGCTGAAGAACTGCCCAGCATGGTGGGACGTATCCACATCCCTCGGCCAAGTTTCACGAGCTCGCCCACGCACACCAGCAGCAGCAACGGTGAGATACCGTTGAGGGACAAAAAGTCTGAAAAAGCGTCGACTCGGAATGCCCCAAATCATTCCCTTTTCTATGCCGCTTATCCTGTTGAGGGGAGCCGGAGCCTCTCCCAGCTTACTTGAGGTGAAAGGTCACGGAGAGGGAACGGGAACCAACACTGCCTGCACGATAATCTGACGACTGAACTTGTACGCCGTCGCTGGCTAACCTATAAAATAAAGACATGAATAGATTCATTTTAAAATGCCATTCAAATTTGGAATTCGTCTCCAATCACTATGAGAACAAAAGCAGAATAAGTGGAAGCTGTTGTAGGTCAAGATGACAACCAACTCACTTTTTTCACTTGCTACCAATGTCCAAATCAGTTATTTACATATTTCACTATTTAATACGTTGTATCGTTGTTATCTAAAAAGGAGTTGCCCTTGAGGAACCCGGTTTTGATACCAGTTGGGTTCAAATGGCAAGTTCTCGATTCGTTTCGTCGAAAGGCTGTCAATGGGAGGATAGCGACCCCCAATGGACTCTTTGTGAACTACATTTCTGAAAATATCAGTCGGTCGAAGAGTTGATTTGATCCAGTTCACCCGCAAGCCCAAAGATCGTATTCTTATTTGTATCTAACGATCACCATGAGAATCTGTTCATAAATCGTATGTGTAAATCGTATGAGGAAAAAAGCATCACCCCCACTTTGAACCTATTTAGAAAATAATTCAGACAGGCAAACATTTTCCGTCTAAAGCTGCACCTGCCACTATCGTCAACTTGAATAACATGTCTGCGGTCTACCATGTATGCAGACCTCTCAAACTACATTCCCAAGCACTCGATGGACTTCAGCGCCTGGCAGGAATACAAACAAGAGGACAACGTGAACAAAGAGAAGGCCACTTCCCAGCAGACGCAGTTGACAGAGGAGGTCATGGTGAGAGTATCGCAACTCAATTGATTGCTTGATTTGTGTCACCGTTAGCTGCAGATCCTAAATCTGGAGGAAAACCTGCTTCTTGTTCTGTCTCGTTCCCTTCAATGTTCTCCTGTGAGAGCGAAAACATACAGTAGCTCAGATGACGAATGATATTCCATTTGTCTGCCTTGTTGAAACGGGCCAGGAGAACATTTGCATCAAATAAAAACTAACCTCTGCAAATGAATTGCTCCAGTCCTCCGTACGCATTTTCAACTTTAGCAACATCATTCCTGGATTGCCACAAATGCACTGTAAATGAGTGTTTGTCTTTCTTTTCTTTTCTTTTTTGGTCCACAGCTGACGCCAGCGGACAGTTCGTCCCTGTCGGACTACAGTAGCGAGCCCGCTCTCTATTTCTGATCTAAACAGCACTGAAGTAGCACCTCATCGGCGGGACTGACGCCACGGGCCAGCGAGGACTGCCACACCTGGACCTGAACCACTTCTAACTTTGCCGGGCCCCGAGCACACGTTCCCCGACGCCTTCGGGGAACACAAGCCACGGTACTTATTGCCACTCGCCACGAGATCATCCAAGTCGTACAGTCGGTCGTGTTCACACCTAAAAAGCAGCTGGGCTGTCTTCTCCCCCACACCCCCCAAAAAATCCTGGGCAGTTGATCTGTCAAAACATCCGATCCAATTAAATAGCTCGTCGGCATTTCCCCAAGCCGTCCCGTGATTTTCGTCCACTGTGGTTGTGGTTGACGCTTGCATCGGGGCGACATGAGCTTCAAAGTGCAAAGGGCCACTAAGAGCTGCCAATGCCCATGTGGAGGCGACGCCACAGCGACACGAGTCCGTCAAATGAAGGTTGCGTTTCCTCGCTTGCAGTAAAACAATACAAAAGAACAATCTGAAAGGGTGCCACATCGTTTTGTTTTTGTGCGCGCGTGGTTTGTTTTGGTCCAAGCAACGGCTTAAGTTGTATCTCTTACGGTCAAGCTTCCAGATGCCTTTTCCGTTTGCTTTCTTTTTATATGCCGTGGCAAACCGTATTGAAGCTGCTGGACGGTTGGTACAACAGCAGTCAAACTTTGACACAATGTGGAGGCCAAGTGTAAACGACATCAACGTGCACCCTGGAAGAAGTTTTCTGTAGCAACTTTTTTTTTTGATCAGTGCTTGAAAAAGTGACCTTTTGCCAAAAAAAAAATGTCTGGACTGCTGGTGAGCGACGCACAGTGTGTCGCCCGGCCGAATGTCTCTGCATCCTCCTCCTGAGCTTCTTGGGTATTTATTGCTTCTCAGTGTTGAAGTTTGCATGTCCTAAACCTGCTCATGTACAATTTTTACATCACGTTTTCCGTGTCGATGTACAAAGAAGCAGGAGGGCGAGTTTCGACTGATCAGCCCGTATCGGACCTCATCTACTCTCACATTCCACGGAGGGAAAGCTGGTCCGCTCAAAATGAAATGAAGGTTAAAGTTTTAATGAAGGTTCTTTTTTTTGTTTGTTTGTTTGTTTGTTTTTTTATGGACAGGACTGCACCATGTTTCCATGATGATTATTATTTTCTTTTTTAACTCAATATGCCAAGTGATTAAAGTGTTGCTGTAATGGCCTCAGTCCTTTACACTCAACCGCGGCCAGTATTGTTGTGCAGTTTCATTGTAACGCCAGCTTATCATGATGAACATGTACTTCCTGCTCGTCGTCCCCCCGATGGATGACCTTTTACAATGCCGCTGAGAGACTTTGCGGTCGTCCAATGACATGTTCATGCTGGTATACAGTCTTGGATGTTGAAATGTGCTTGCACTGTCGTGCTTTTCGCTTTTGTTTTGCACCTCGTGTCAAGGAATAGCCGGTGGCAGAATACCTGCAACGGAATACCTTTCTCCTCTCTGTTGACGTTGTTTACTTGACAGTATGTCACATATAGTCGCTGACCATCAACAAGAATTCCGTTTGACTGTTTTTACAGGCTGGAGTGCAGCAATTCACGTTTTGATATTTTGGTGGGGTGGGGCGGGGGTGGGG